GTGGCATTAGCCATTAGAGAGATGCAAATTAAAACAACGAGATAGCATCTCACTCCAGCAGTAAAAGCAAAGTTCAACAAGAAAAGAACAAATGCTGGTGAGGATGTGGAGAGTTTGGGACTCATACACTGCTGGTGGGACTGGAAAATGATACAACTGTGGAAAGCAGTCTGGTGATTCTTTAAAAAGTTGGAATTAGGTGTATCATTTGATTCAGCAATCCCATTACTAGGTATATATCCTAGAAAAGAAATGAGAGCCAGGATAGGAACAGTTATGAGCACTCCCATGTTCATCGCAATACTATTCACAATAGCAAATACTATTCACAAAAACCAAAGTACCCATCAACAGAAGAATGGATAAACAAACTATGGTACATACACACAACAGAATATGATGCAACACTAAAGAATAAGAAAGAATAATAAACACTAAGAAAAAAAATAAAATAACGTAGAATCTGCAAAACACCACATAACATGGATTAACTTGGAGGACATTATGCTGAGGGAAATAAGCCAATCACCGAAGGACAAATATTGTATTAGTTCACTATTGTAAAAAGTCAAGGAAAGGTTTATATATGGAAGAAAGCTTTCTTTGTTGGTTACCAAGGATGCAAGGAGAAGGGAGGAAACACTGTTAGATAGGTAAAGTATTGATTTGTGTGAAGGGAAGGGCAATGTACCACAAGTAATCAATAAAGTGGCACTAAGGAAGAGGAAGACAGAGAGAGAGGAACACAGGAGATACAGACAACAAAGATGAACCCTTTTGCATGTACGGTACTACATTTTCAGTGATGGCAAGCACTGATCTATGCGTGGATGGATAGGTAGACGAGTCAAACAATCAGGCATGTCTAGGCAGGGGGAAATGTGTAGGGTTAGCAGACAGTGTTTCTACATGCTTATCTGCGTGTGCTATAAGAATGTCTGGGTGTATAGCAGAGTCAAGGGGCAAGGTTGTGGTGCCTTTTTGGTCACAGTCAGCTACCCAGATGAAGCGAATATTTGGACCTGTGGGCTCAGGGCCATGGTCACAGAAGACATCAAGCTCAATTGGCATAACATACTACAAAAACATTGTTCTACATCCTACTTGGGTGAGTAGCAACTGGGATCTTAAAAGCTTGCAAGCAGCCATATAGATGCAACAATGGGTCTCTCCTCATCCAGAGCAAAGAAGAATGAAGAAAACCAAAGACACATGGAAACAGTTAGTCCAAGGGACTGGTAGGCCATGCAATCCTCAGATTATATGACCAAGAGACCAGAAGAACTAGATGGTGCCCAACTACCACTGTCAACCACTCAGAGAAGGATTGGTGCGGGAGATCCCAGATAGAGTGGGAGAAAAACATGAAACAAAACTCAAAATCATTAAAAAAAAGAGACCAGGTTTGCTGGTCTGATAGAGCCTGGTGAGACCCCTGAGACTATGGTCCCTAGTTACCCTTCAGGCCTGAAACTGAACTCACTCTTGGGGCTTCCAGCCAAACAACAGATAGGCATATGGGGTGAACATTTATATCCAGTAGATACACTTCTTGGAGTGATCAATAGTGGGAGAACAGAAGGACAGTGTTTCCACAGGGAGACAGCTTGGGGGGTGGGAGTGCATGGGAGGGAAGGGCACAGGGCAGAGGTAACTATGGGGAGGAAGTGGGAAAAGAGCTGTTACACTGTGGGGAATTGGAGTCATTGTCATGAAATAAAATATATATGAACTGAGGTATGGAAATTGAATTTGCTCTGTAAACCCAAATCACAGAAATTGGGGGCAAAAAAAGATTTTCAAAATTGAATTGGTACTTTAAAATCTTCTCACAAACAAAACTTTAAGTGCAGACTGGTTTCACCTTAAATGTTTTTGCTAAACATTTAGGGAACAGATATTACATAAATTCTACCATACAGTAAAAATAAGATGGGGGATAGTCCTCATTTCTTTTGAGTCTGGATCTCCCGTCCCCCCAAAATAAAAAAAGGAATTTACAGGTCAATCATACTAAAAAACATAGATGCAAACTTTTAAATATAACATTAGGAAATCAAATCTAACAATACAAAAAACATGCCCAAACTGATTTTTCACAAAGATATAAGGTTGTTTTAATATTAGAAAAATCAATGTGATTCACCACTTTAGTAGATTGAATTAGAAAAACATTACCTTAATAAAAGCAGAAAAAGCAAATGAAATATCTATTCATGATGATAATCCCTCACAAGTAAGTCACAGAAGGAAGATTCCCTAACCTGAAAAAAAGAATCATCTACAATTTTCTAAGTATTTCTTAACAATAAAATTTGAAACCATTCCTATTAAGGCCAATACCAAAAGTCAGCTGCATTTCTATATTCCAATTAACAATCAGCTTGACAGTAAATTCAATAGAAAGTAAAAATCTCAAGTACCTAAACAAAAATCTATGAAAAGATATGCATAATCAATGGGAAGAAAATTATAACTTTATTGACTGGCTAAGAATGTATATTAAAAGATTTATTTCAAAATCTTAGACAGAATTCCTCAAGAAATGTAAAGTTTTCAGTTCCTCCAAAAGCAATCTACAGATTCAATGTAATTTCAAACGAATTCCTATAAAAGATGAAAGGGCCAGCAATTACAAAAACACTCAAGAAAAACAAGGATGGGCAACCTTGTCACAAGCCAACAAGATTTATGGCCATTTCGACTGTGTAGCATTTGCATAAGGATACATGAACTGAATAAAGGAACATAATAGAGTGGCCAGAGAGTACTCACACACAGATGAGATTTTGACCCAAAACCCACGACCAACTAAGCACTTGAGAGCAGCAGAGGAGGGACTCTATAATAGAGAGGTTTTGGTTAATCACATAGGAAAAAATTTAATCAACTCCCCCACCTCAAATACTTCTATATGCATTTAAAAACTTAACCTCTATCAGGGAAGGAGAAGAATGAGATTGAAAAGCGACACTCAGGTCTTTCACGGTACTGAAGAGGATGGTGGACCACAATGACTTATTTCATGTCATTATTTTAACTGAACATGTACATTTTAAAGAGACTTGTATGATTATTTCAAAGCTCTGGTGGTACAGTGCCTAAGGCATTTGACTGCTAAACAGAAGGCTGGCAGTTCAAACCCACCAGCCACTCTAAGGAAGGAAGATTGAGCAATATACTTCCATAGAGATACCACCTCAGAAACCCAAGGAGGGGTCTCTAAGAGTCAGAATCAACTCAACGGCAATGAGTTTGGATTTTTTAGTTTAAGAAGGAGTTTATTTAAAGAGCCTGTTTTGTCTGAATGAGGGTCCACTCTTCGCTGCAGTTGGGGACCTTGTCTGGCCACAGGGTACACTGTGGTTAACAGAGGAATGATGCCAGTGTTCCCCTGGGGCTCAGGGGAGGGATGTTTCCATCCCATGCATCCATGCTCTGGGTAATCAGATAAGAGCCACAGAAAGCTCGGCTTTCTGAACTCAGTGGAAGCAGGAAAAGCTCCAGGTTCAAGGCCCACTCTCAAAGTAGATCCTCTAAGGTGGACGCCATTTTTTTGAGGCCCAATCTCCAAATGTTAACCATGGACCTTGCCTACATTCTTTGCGCAGTTTGCTCTTTTCTCCTTGAGAATTCTCATTCTTATACCTCCTTCTATATCAAGCTACCATCCCCGCCTCTTTTTAAAAGCAAATGACTATATTTATTTTAGAATTTAATTAGGAATTTAATGTTTCTTTAAGGAGGACTGGTGGTGTCATGGTTAAGGCATTTGGCTGACCAGAAGTCAGCGGTTCAAACACATGATAGCAGGGAGTTGTTTTGTTTTGAGTACTTCTAGGAAGGAAGATTGGGCAATCTTCTTCTGCAGAGATACCACCTTGGAAACCCAAGGACGGGTCACTAAGAGTTGAACTGACTTGACGGCGGTGAGTTTATTAGAATTGTTATTGTTTTTATTAGTACTTGAGTTACAAACGTAAAAGATTTTGAATGATATACCTCTAACTTTGTTTTGCCCATGACTCATTATTTTTAGTATTTGATTTTACAGGGTAAGAGGGTTTTTTTTTTTAAGAAGTTCATATATTGTCTCATAGCAGAAACAGCTAGTACTTTGAAGAAAAAGTTTGAGAAACACATGAGAGAACCTCTTTCTCCCTCATGAAGTTCCCACCAGGTTAGGGTAGCACAGTATCTGACTCTCTCAGCCCTGGTACCCTTTCCCACTTGCTACACAATTCCCCTCCCCTCTCCCAACTGCACATGACCTCTGGCTCCCAGAGCAAGAGAAGTTTCTGCACCTGGAAGCGTGCCCTTTGACCTGATGTTGATTATTGACTCTACAAATACACACTTTCCTGACCACTGGAATTTTAACTTTTATAGCCTATCAAATTAAAGGCATTCTGGTGGTGTAAAGGGGAAGGAATTTGGTTGCTAACCAGAAGGTCAGTAGTACAAACCCACCAGCTGCTCCCCAAGAGTAAGATGAGGTAATCTACTTCAGTAAAGATTTATAACCTTGGAAACCCAATGGGGTCGCTATGAATCAGAATCAACTAAATGGCAGTGAGTTTGAGCCTATCAAATTAAGTAAGACATATCCATGTGCAGTTTAAAGCCAGACCACCTGTTTCTGCCACTACGTAGGTATGGACTTTTGGTAAACTCATTGACTCTCTCCAGGGCCTCAGTGTACTGAGGTACCTGTACAATGGAAAAGGAACTTGTCAAAGGAGAAAATTCTATGCTTGCTGATTAGCACACTGCCTGACACTCATTCACAAACAAACTAAAACTGATTGCTTTTTCATTAATTTTGAATCTAGTGATCCTTCATGATGATGAGGTCAGACAAAGTAAGTAGTGGGACTACTACAACTATGGCAAAGGCCTATAATATGTAGAACTCTGAATAATCTATATACTGGGACTATCTTTAAAAATAATCTCAGACACATCTGTACCTTCAAAATCAATGAAGGAGAAGCACATACCTGCTGAATGTGGTGCTCCTTCTCCTGAAGCTGCAGAGGCAGGGATACTACCTCCTTTTGAGAAGGAGACTGTGCTGGCTCACTCCCATGTTTATGTACTTCCTTCTTTACATGCAAAGCAGCTTTCTTTTCACTTTCAAATTCACTCTGTATAAAGTACATTAATAACAAAAATAACATAAAGCTAGAAAATTATGCTATTCCACTTATCTGCAGTTGCTTAGAATTTTATTCATCAGACAATATATATTGAACCCCAATACTGTGCCAAGAGCAGCAACTGAACAAATCAGGATCACCCACAGTGAACATGCATTCATTCAAGTGGGTTCATCATATCAAATATACCACAAATCCAACATACCAATAAAGACGGAATTCTGTACTGATAACAACTTTGTGTGATAAACAGTAGCATGTTGCCTTTCCTAATTCAGGTAACCTTATATGGTCATTTCAGAAATTCACCATCATGAGACCAGTATCACAAAAATCAAAGATATTTAGAAACTTGGATTCCTTTAGTTATAAAAGATAAATAATCTTTCTTCTTAAATAATAAAAATACATATTTTAAAAAAAAAAGGTTCAAAATGAATTAACTTACATTAATGAAAAGAAGTTTATTTTAAAGAAACTACAGAGGAAGCATCGATTAAGGACTATCAAAAACCTGCTCCCTCCATGAGAGGGAGAAATGAGAGCACTGCAGAAATCGTCATTATCAACTTCCTCAGATTTCTGGAAATTAAGAAAGGCTTGCAGCATGTTTATTGGGGGGAATTTAAAAAAAAAAAAAAGTTGAATTTCCATAAAAGCAGCAAGCTTTAGGGCATTTTAGCTTGCCCTAATCCTATCCCTCTTCTCCCCATCTCTATGATAATCTTGAAAATCAACAGCCTTGCAACTATGGTTAGCTGTAAAAATGAATTTGAAGCTCACCAAAAGCTCTATTCCCAGGGAATTACCATTAATTGACCTGTCTGTTAGCCTCCTAAAAAGTTCTATTCTCATGGACCTTCTTTATTTGAAGCAACTCAGACCTCCTTCCTGAGGAGCAAGGATGTCTCCTTGAGGACTAAGGTGCACCTGACACAAGCCATGATATTTCCAATTGCCTCGTATGCATGTGAGAGCTGGACAATGAATAAGGAAGACCAAAAAAGAGTTGATCCTTTTGAGTTGTGGTGCTTTCGAAGAATGCTGAAAGAAACAAGGACTGCTAAAAGAACTAACAGATCTGTCCTGGAGGAAGTGCACCCGAAATGTTCCTTGGAAGCGAAAATGGCCAAACTTTGTCTCACCTATTTTGGTCATGTTGTCAGAAGGGACCATTCCCTGGAGAAGGATGTCATGCTTGGTAGGGTGGAGGGCCGACGAAAGAGGGGGAGGCCTTCAATGAGATGGATCGACATGGTGGCTGCGATGATGGGCTCAAGTATAGCAGAGATCATGGAGTTGGCACGGGATCAAGTAGTGTTTCATTCTGCTGTGCATGGGGTCGCTATGAGACGGAAACAACTCAACAGCACCTAACAACAACAACAGACCTCCTTCTGTGTGAACAAGCCTATCCCAAAGTTTTTGCTAAAAAAACATCAGCTGCAGTTACTTGAGGAAGTAATAGTTGGGGCTAACAAGAGGCTGACGAAGAAACTTAAACGAAAAACTAGGAAATGAGATGTCTACATGAGGCTTTGAAAACCCTCACAAATTCCTGGGACTCTAGAAGGCCACAGACATACACAGGAAGATCTGAAAAGGCCCCAAAGTCTCACTTCTGGTTGGCCATGAGGGCTCTGTGTAAGCAAAAAGTGAAAACTAACACAGAGTTACAAACTGCCTTCAAAGCACTGAAGACATGCCCCAATATGCTCACAGAGCCTCTCAGCACAGACAGGGAGACTTACTGGTTCAAAGCATTAAAAGAAATCTCTGTCCAATCATTAGCTATTAAGCAACCAAGCACAGATTTCCATGGCCACACAAAGAATATAGTCTGTATAGAATTAGTTCAGCAAAGTCACTAAAAAACTACAGCAAGCAGCAAAAACAACAAACCTAAGAGGAGATAAATCTGATGACCAAACTTACCACATTATAATAATAAAAATATCTACTTGTCAACAAAAACTTATGAAGCATGCAAAGAATAAACAATGGCTCATTTTCAGAAAAAATTAACAGCAATCATCCCTAATGAAGCAGATATTGGATTTGCTAGACAAAGACTTTAAATCAATTGCCTTATATGTGGTTAAGAAACTAAAGAAAGCAATGGGCAAAGATCTAAAGGAAAACAGAAGAACAATGTCTCAAGAAATAGAGAGTATCAATAAAGAGATGCAAATTATAAAATGGAATCAAATAGAAATTCTGGAGCTAAAAAGTGTAATTACTAAAAGGAAAAACTCACTAAAGGGACTCAATGACAGATTTGAGCAGACAGAAGGAAGAATCAGCAACTTCAAGAGAGATAAGTAAGATAATCCAATCTGAGGAAGAGGAAGAAAACAAAAGAAAGAAAAATGAACAAAGTCTCTGTGGAACAATTACCTATTTAAATATGGCTCTTCTAGCCATGGTCTTTGTGACTTTTTTCACTGGGTATAACTATGTAAATGTGAGGTGCTTTGTGCCCCACCAAGGGAATTGGCTAGCTTCCTAATAATATAAATAAGATACATGGCACCCTTGCAGGGGTGGAACTGTATGAAGAAGGCATATTGAATCTTAATGCAGGGATCGGTCAGTTTTGCCATCTCACCAGGCTTAAAATGACCCATCCCACTGGCGAGAAGGGGGAATCACACTACCATCAAGAGAGAAGAACTGGGAGTGGAACACATCCTTAGTCCTAGATCTCTACACTGAGACAGTAGAAAGACAGCAGAAGAAGAGGTAGTAGAACCAAGAGACAAGCAGAGAGAGACTAGCAAGATTCCTGATCCACAAAGCAAGAAAGCTAAGTGCTTTCAAGCAAGAGGCTTACTGGTGGAGCGGAATGGCTCTTTGGGCACCTATAAATAAGCAGAGCTAAAAGAGCTTAGTGACACTAGACTGAGCAAGGCAGAATCCAAGGCCACAGAGAAGCATGCTTACACCACAGCTAAGAAAAAGCTATCTTGGGGGAGTTCCAGTAAGATGGTGGAATAGGCATAAAGACTGCACAGACCCTCTTCAACAAAGAAAAGGGAAACCAATTAACACAGATACATAAGATAATTCTGGAACCCTGAGCCGTGGAGGGAAGGATATAGAAGTGGACTAAACTCCAACGAGCAGAAGAATTTGCATGAAAACACCAAAAAAGGAGAAATACAGAGTTGTAGTCTGGCGGCAATCCTGATGGCACAGAAAGCTGGGATATTGCCGAGTGCTGTTAGGACGTAAGAATTAACCTAAAAATCAGCCATGGCAGCCAGGGATTGCACAGAAGAGAGATCTGGTGGTTGGGGAATAAAAGGAAAAGCAGTGAAGAGGATGGCGGGCTGAACTGCGGACTTTTGTCTTTCCAGAGGGTGTAGCCATTTTGAATGTTTACAAGCAGCTTGACCACTTTGGGTATTTAAAGAGACAGCATTCTCCCAGATTCCAGGGACTTAAGAATGGGCTCCACTTGCCAGGAATCCCAAGGACATTCCAGACCCAGAAGATGAAAAGGTGCAACATTCCCCTTGTTACTCTTATACCCCACACTCTCTTGGTGAACAGAGGTGTGGCCATCCCTCAATCCCACCCACCTTCTGGGCTGGCAGGAACTCCCTCCCAGTCTGTAGGCTCAGACAGAGGCTGGGTGCCCTGCTTCGCCCTGCCCCGATTTTATTTTTTTTTCGGTTTTTCAGTTTGTTTTTGTCTGTTTAAAAACTACCATTATTATTATCACTTTTGTCTTTTTTATTATTATTCTTTATTCTTCTCCTCCCAGGTTCTAGTTTTCAGTTTTTTTTCTTATCCCTGTTAGTGGCTGCAATTTTTTTTTCTTTCTCATGGTTACCGGCGTTCTTTGTTTTTCTTTTTACATTTTTTCCCATTTTGTTCTTCATTATTCTCCTTCTCTACTTTTTTTCTCTTACTGCCCTCTCCCCACATATTGCAGGGTGTTTTTTTCCTTCTTCTTTATCTCTTTTTTCTTATTATGGTTACTGTTCCTATGCGAATGATTACACAGTGTATTTTTTGTTCATGTGCTTTTACTTTTCTGATGGTTGTTGTTGTTATGTGCCGTCGAGTCGGCCCCGACTCATAGCGACCCCTCCTTGGGTTTCGGAGGCAGTATCACTACGGAAGTAGGATTTCCCAACCTTCCTTCCAAGGAGTGGCTGGTGGGTTTGAACCGCCAGCCTTCTGGTTATCAGTCAAGTGCTTTAGCCACTGTGCTACCAGAGCTCCTTTCTGATGGTTACTCAATTGTTATTTTTGTCTAACAGAGTGGAAGACAGCAACAGGCCCCATATGACACAACTACACACACACATCCTGCAGCTTTACTTACTGAGTGGGAGCAACCTCTTTCTTCTCCACCAACAGCCTACCGATAAACAACCACCAAGAAGAGCCTGAATTACCCTTGGCTGCTCTTCACAAACAGTTAACACAAATTTAAATACAATAACACAATGGTGTCTGAGAGACAACAGACCATCACAGTCCACACAAAGAAGCAAGATAAAAGTGGTAGAAACAAGGGGGCACGATACAGATCCAAAAGACAACCCGGAAGAAGCAGCAGCATTGGAACGTCTGATAAGGAATTCAAAAGAATTATATTTAAGTATCTTCAAAGGATTGAGAGACAGAACAAGGAAAACACAGACAAAACCCTAGAAGAATTGTGGAAGAAAATAGAAGAACAAAATGACAAAATAAATGAAAAATTAGAAATGATGTTAAATCTACAGATAGAAATCCCGAAGATTAATACTGAATTGTTGGAATTAGACAACACATTGAAAGGGCAAAGGAGTAGAACTTCATGCAATGGAAGACAAAATTAGAGATTGAAGAAATATACTTGAATATTTCTTTGAAAAGGGATCAATCAGAAAAAAAAAGATCAAAACGAAATGAAGAAAGCCTAAGGTTCATGTGGAATACCATCAAAAGGAATGAGATATGTGTCACTGGAATTCCAGAAGAGGAAGAGA